CCCCCCCCCCCCCCCAAATGCGTCGAAGGCGGCTTCCGATAGTCGCAGGAGTATGGCTCCTGTTGAGCATATTTTCTTCGTTTGAGTTATTCAAAGACTGCATAAACCGCTGCACAGCGCCAGGTTGAAGTTCTGTGAAATTATCAAAGAATCTTTGTCCACATACCTGGCTCTCCAGTTAGCTCCACTGTGTCTGTCAGATATTGTTCAGAATAACTCACACATTGCCATTTAAACCTTACTTTTCCTTCCAGGTCGGGTTTCGATTGCCTGTTAATCAACATCCTCACCTTGATAGAGTAGAAGTCAAGAGTCGAAAAGCTCCGGGCGATAATCCTACCGAGGCCAAGCACTCGACGTACTCCTGTTTCCGTTGCCTTTATAGACTCTATACCGGTGTTGTTGTTTGCGTTATCTGTTGCTAAATGGGGAGATATGAAAGCCCGTAAACTTTCTCGCAGTAGCCCGAGCGCCTGCGAGCTCTTTACAAAAACTTCCAGCTGTTGTAAATCTTCTAGATCATTATCGAGGCCATCTGAACCACTTTCATCGGATAAGTATTCTTTTGCGATCGACTTTCCCTTGTCATATTTGAGATTCAAGGCGCCGGACTTGAGCGTATTGCATATGATATGAGCAGTGTTCCGTGCCCTGATTCGAACGAATTGTGCAGCATATTGTTCTTGTTGCGTCTTTCCTTCTTTCTTCAGTTCAACTGCAAAATTGACGAGAAGTCGACGGAGATTCCTTTCGAATCTCTCTTGACCAATCGTATCGAGGGCTTCGATGCACAAGGAGTGGATAGCATCATCGCCGATTAGAAGATGGACCAATTGATCTTCAGCGCCTTCAAGTCCACTAATAGACGATATCAAAAATGCGATAGTGCCGGAAAATACGCTGCTTATGACAGAGGTAACAGAAGATATCGAAATATTGACGATTTCACTGACAGTGTCATCTTCTCTATCCTCTATATTTCGGTCTGGTACTTGCTCCTTTCTGGACAAAAAGGGTGAATCCCAAATAGCGGAAGCAACTTCATCATGTTTTGATGCTTGAAAACGACCAGGAAGTGAGGTCTTTTGTGTCGAAGATTCCTAAAACCGGTTACTCATTATCCCCCCTCGCTCAGTGGGACACACCAGCGTTCCTCTATCAAGCATAAACTCTTCAAACACAGCTTGAGGTTGACTTTGTCTCCGATATGGCGGGACAATAAAGTTTAAGGGAGTAGAGACATCTCGTACTGGATCGTAGTACGTTCCGGCTGTTGAGGAATCTTGCGAGCTAGTTCCACGACTACTAGTCGAGCTCTGCTCGGTTAAGACTTGTGGTTTCGTGGCTACTTTATAGTAATTGCTGCTGACCTCGTACCCCGTCAATTGATGTCCATGACTCTTGTGTTGCCCGCCGCTCT